TTACAAGTCTATACCGCCATCCCTAACCTGAGTGCTCATATTACAAGTCTATACCGCCATCCCTAACCTGACTGCTGGGTTACAAGTCTATACCGCCACCCCTAACCTGAGTGCTGGGGTTACAAGTCTATACCGCCATCCTAACCTGTAAGCCTTTCTATGTATAGGATGAACATGTAATCAAATGCATATACATGACTAGAAAATAGAAGTTTTATGCAAATTTGACTGATGAGAAGAAAATGAGGAAGAGCGTGGTTTACTGAAATGGCAACGGCTTTGCTACGGCAGGTAGGGGACCCTCAGTCTCACTCTCTGGGCGCTTGCTGGCTGAGTCAGGCGGTGATGAGAATAAAGGCGATAATAACACAAGTGTTTGTAGAACTGAAAACGTGTTTTACACGTGCTTGTAGGAAGCCACCTGGAGGCACAGGTGGTCCTGCAGTTTGGAGGTATACAAGCCCATACCTGGCTTGGCCACGTGGGGCTGAGCACCCTTGCCTGCACCCTTGCTTGCACATGCTCAGACCAGCAGAATGGCATTAACCAATCAGGACAGCGTTCAAGCCTCTCCACCGTTTAAAAGCAGCTGCCTCTGGGCTCTACTTGCTCTCTCTAAGCTTTCTCTTGTCCCTGCTCTCTCTTCCCTTCCCCCAATTTTCCTCAATCAAATGCTCCGAATAAAGACGTGACCAGGGAAGGAATTCTCGTTTTTAGTGGCGTTCATTCCTGCTGGTCAGGATGTGCGTCGCACGTGCTAACCCGTGTAATCCCCACGGCAGTCTCTAAGCCATATTATCCTCATCCCGCAGAATGGGAAACTGGCCTCAGCAACCTTACACAATGTGTCTGAGATCCTAAACTCAGCACTTGAATGGTGGAATTCATGCGGCTAGACACTAGGCAAAGCGGAGCCCCTCAGAGTCCCATTCCCACATTAACTGGCCCCTGCTTGCTATTTTCCAAGGTGAGTGGCAAGAAGACGCGGCATCTGGCGAGCCTGTGTTCTCAAGGGAACTCTTCATAAGTGCACTTAGATCAACATCGACTTCAGGCTCAGACACTGAGACCTGCTTTTCTACCTGGGAAGGCACCGCTGTAGACCGTGAAGAGGTCTCTGTCGCTAGGAAGCTGGAGGTGACTGATGTGGGCACACCCAAGGCCCTTCCTGGAGGCTGGCTGTGTCTTTTCATTGTGGACACGGAGGTGGCTCTCTATCAATGCTTCCTAGGGAACAGCAGACACACAGACTCGTAAACACAAGGGGATTAAGCGGCTCTCTGTAACCAGGCCTTGTAGGTTCAAGGATGAAGTCTCTCTGCAGAATGGGAAACAAGGCCACAGCAGCACAATTTCTAACACTGTTACTATGAAACTATTGACCAAAAGGGAAGGACACACAGCCCTGTCTGATATACAGTGCTTTGCAGAAAGAAAAAAAAATCAGAATGAAGAGCCTAAACCACAATCTTTATATCATAAAATCTTTCCCCTTCTGGAGTGTGGCTCTTCCATGTCCCTGCTCTCCTTGACGCGTGACCTCATAAAGCCAAACAAGATTATTCGAGATAGGAACAGATACTGTCTCTGTTGCTCTGTGCAACTAACACAAACCACACACATCTCTCTCACACCCCCATGTCTATACACACACACACACACACACACCTCTCTCACACCCCGATGTCCCCACACTACACACTCACACACATCTCTCACATCTTCCACGTCCCCACACTATACACACCACACACACACACACACACACAGCTCTTTCACACCCCCATGTCCCCACACTACACACACACACACACACACACACACACACAGACACACACACACACACAGACACAGTCTCAGAGTTCAGAAAGCACTTCCACATTTTAACTCACAACTCCATCCTGTCGAGGAGTTCATTCAGGAGGCTGGAGGTTAAGTTTTTAGTCTATTACAGCTAGTAAGGAACATAGAGATCGGCTAAGGCTACAATTCTATCTTTCTAGACAGACCTAGATGGGGTGGGGAGTCAGGGAGACTCTGTTTCAGGCGTGGGAAGCCAGGAGTTGGACAGAGAGAAGCTGGCCCCTTCACCCCTGTCCAGAGCCTGCTATGACTTCCGAGGGGGGAGGATGTATGGGCAGCTTTCTCAGGCGCTTTTACCTGCAGAAGACCCCCACTCCTTTAAAAGGAGAATCTGTCAACGTCAGGGGTCCTTGGGTGATAGTTTAAGAAACTGTATTCAGAATCAAAGTTCTCTTCGCTGGGGCTCTCAAGAAAAGGCAAAGGAGGGAGACTCTGAAGTCAAAAGGAACAGAGGAGTCCTGACAGAAATCGCACCTCGGCCTGGCGTTCATCTTCCTGCGGCGACTGCTTCCTGAGGGGCGTCGGGTAGGTCCACTGATTGCTGTGGTTCTGGGCAGCAGAGCCCTGGTCCACATGAGCACCGGTGCCAGCTTCCTCTTCCTTCAGGCCCTGCGGATCTGCACAGGGGACAATGAGTCAACTGGAAACAGACACATCATGGAGCCTCCACGGAAGTGGCAGCCAGGACCAACTACCAAGCCAGAAGGCTACCCGGATGTCAGGGACACGAGGTTGCTTCTTGGATCCTGTTTCCTCATTTGTAAAATGGGGATTCCGATCTCTTGCCCTCGTTTCCTTATAGAGGTGCCTGGGCCTCAAATCAGATAACAACAGTGACCGTTTCTGTATGAAGGGCAAGGGATCCCGGATGGCGGCGTGATTTTGTGTCGTGACCTGTAACCGCTGAGATGCCTGACTGTGTGTCGTGACCTGTACCCATGCAGATGCGTGACTGTGTGTCGTGACCTGCAACCACTGAGATGCGTGACTGTGTGTCGTGACCTGTAACCGCTGAGATGCGTGCCTCACTCTGGATTCACCCTGTCTGCAGCGTGCAGGGAGGATCCCGGTCAATAGATGACTGGTCCAGTTAGTAAATCTTTCACCGGTGCTTTAAAGGGGCTCGCAGCTATTTTCATCCCTACTCAAGGTAGATTTATTGCTGAAAGAGTCTGGCAAGCCGTCCTTGTTTGGAGCCTAGCTGTAGCAATACTTTCACTCCTGTCATGCAGCTCTGCCTCCTCTCCTGGCATGCAGCTCTCCCTCCACTCCCGGCATGCAGCTCTGCCTCCACTCCCAGCATGCAGCTCTGCCTCCACTCCCAGCATGCAGCTCTGCCTCCACTCCCAGCATGCAGCTCTGCCTCCACTCCCAGCATGCAGCTCTGCAAGAGTCTTTTACTCCTTTTTTCTTTTTGAGACAGGATATCGCTACACATCCCTGGATGCGCTGGAGCTTGCTGCGTAGACCAGGCTGGTCTTGAACTCACAGAGATCCTCCTGTCTCTGCCTCCTCAGCACTGGGATTAAAGACGTACACTCTAACGCCTAGCCCTCTATCACTAGAGGTTTGATCCCGAAGCACACCATCTTAGCTAGACCAACTGGCCAGCGAGCACTGTGTTTTTACTGGCTTCCTCCACTGGCCACACTTAGCCGTTAGATGGGTGCTAGGGATTTGAATTCGGGTCCTCTTGCAGACACAGCAAGTTCGCTTACTCACTGAGCCGTCTCCCCAGCCCTCCTGTAGATTTTCACAAAAGCCCACAGGGGAAGGGACGCAGACACCATTGCTCTCGTTTCGTAGATGAGCAAACTGAAGAAGCAGGGAGCATAGCTTGGCTCATGGTTGGGGATCTGAGCTTTACAAACCAGGGCTTTTCCTACCTTTTCAGAAAAAAATGACAAACAGAGAGAACCTAAGCGGAAATAAAGTTAAATCCGATGAAAACAGTGGGGTCCGAGTTTCAACCTCTGAGTGACAGATAATTCTTTAAAATTGATTTTTTTTGTCCCTATGATCATGGACATGGGCATCGCAATTAGTAATTATAATGGAAAAAAATCTAAGGAGGTCTGTAATTAACATTTACTGAGCACTTACTATGTGCCAGGGACGGCACAATCCCCTTGAACTCCCACATATGATTTATGAAGTTTATGTGGTGTGGTCGCTCAGTTTTATAAATGAAGAAGTTGAGGCCCATAGAGGTCAGACCGCTATCGGCACCATCTCTCTGTTTTCTGCCCGATGGTGAAAGCTCCTTGGTAAATGATGTCAGTGATGCCACTGGTCCCACAGCGCTGAAGTCTTGATCCCCCCTCCCCAGGGAAAGTGCGGCAAGTCACTGCCCTCTTAATTGGGTACCAGAACATCAAAACCCCAGGCTATCAATGCAGATGGGTGTCTGCGAAGAGAGATAGCCAAAGGCACTGATGTGATCGCTGTCAAGGGTCCCCACGTGGGGCCATTACCTAGGTGGGGTCCGGTCCCCAGGACGTGTTTTCTTCAATGTTCTAAAATCAAGTGGTTTAAAGAAATCCAATCCATGTTAGAAAAGCACATTGAAACTCACACTATAAACAAAAGTACAAAGGGATAATGACAAAGACTACCACTGGACCAGTGTGTTTTATAGAGACAAATACATGTGGACCAGGTTCTGACTGGAGGTCTGCTTCACCAGAGTCTAGGGGCAAGAGAACCACGCGTACTTGGAACACTCAATGGTGCCAGCCTCTGAGGAACCGCCGCGCTCCACGCTTCCTCTGCGTATCCCCAAAAGATCCTTTTTCCAAGGAAAGAGCTTGTTCTGACGTCGCCATTGTTTCTGAAAACTTTTGAATTTCAGAAAAGTTCCTGTATGTGGTGCTAGCCTCCCGCATTTTTCTCCAGAGCGCTTTTCCCATCCACGTTTTCCTATCTCTCACCAAAGGCAACTCATGGCCCTTTCAGTGGCATGCGTTACCAAGGAAAACATCTGTTAAAGACTGGGATTATTTCCTGTGTAGTGCTGAGCAGTCTTAATGTGCCCATTAAACAGATGAACAAATGGAAACTCAGCGTGGTTAACTGACCTGCTCAAAATCTTCCTTCTCATAAATCAAAGGAGAGCCTTGAAAACAGGTTCATGGGGCCGGACGGTGGTGGCACAGACCTTTAATCCCAGCACTCCACTCGGGAGGCAGAGGCAGGTGGATCTCTGTGAGTTCGAGGCCAGCCTGGGCTGCAAGAGCTAGTTCCAGGAAAGGCTCCAAAGCCTCAGAGAAACCCTGTCTTGAAAAACAAAACAAAACAAAAAACAAAACAAAACAAAATACCAGATTCATGTCCCCAGAGTTAATGTATTTTTAAAGCATTGTCCCAAAAATCACAGGATTAAAGAATGTTACGTGGTGACATATATCTGCAATCCCAGCATTTAGAAAGCTGAGGCAGGGGGACTGTTAGTCTGGGCTACATAGTGAGACTCTGTCTCTCAAAAAAAAAAAAAAAAGCCAACCAACTAACAAGATACTTCAGAAATTTGAACACTAAAGTCTAGACCTGTGTTGCCCAGCACAGTAACTACAAGCCACATATGGCTATTTGTATGTAAATGAATCAGAACTAAATTAAAAACTCAGTTTCGCAGTTGCAATAGCTACTACGTTCCAATGCCCACGACACATACGTGAATGACTGCCACTCTCCTGGATAACACACATGTCACAGTTTCCAGACAGACCCCTGCATCTTCCAGATGAAGATAATGGAAACAGAATCCCTAGATCTTATTTTTACAAAACTTTATTTTAAGCTGTTAAAAAAAATTCCAAGTATCTGTAAACTGGTCAGGCAATCAACAGGTACAGGTCGGGGAGACATCTCAGTGGTTAAAGTGCTAGCCATGCTTGCCTCGGGATCCGAGTTCGAATTTGCAGAACTCATTTATACGCTGGGTGGGTAAGGTAGCCTGTGCATAATTTCAGCCTCAGAGGTTAGAGGCAAGGGATCCCCAAAGCAAGTTGGTTAGCAATGAGCTTTGGGTTTGATTAAGAGACCTGCTTCAGTGGGTAAGATAGAAGAGCAATATAGAGTGATTCTAGCCCTCAAGTCTTAGCAAGCAGCCACACAGTGTGGATAGGCACACCCACCTACACGCGTGTGCCCACTTGCAATCAAACGTGCACATACACACGCACACCCCACTGTGCACACATATGAAGGATGGAAACACAGCAGTGAGCAGGTACCTTGTTCATAAGGTGGTCTCTGTTGAATCCAAAACGGAGGGTTGACAGGCAGGAGATGGTATTTTCGGGGAACACCGGAGAGATCCTGCTGCGGCCTGAGATTCTTGGATATCCCAAGCTGACTGTCCTGGAGCAGCATGGAATCCTTGATGTGTCCTGAGGGGCAGATCAGGAATTACTGATGTGAAGGATAAGGACCAGTCTAGCGTGCAGGAGAAAACTAGACATTCCCCACTCGCAGTAGTCTTGGCTTGGGACAGACATTAAAGAAGACAATCAAGAGACAAGCAGGATTAGAAAACTCACATGGCCTGCTATGCCATTCCCAAGAACGAGGTCCTTGTTGGGAAACAAGCAAAAGCATGACTGCTTCCTAGGTGTTGGCTTGGAGGCCTGTCCTGCTTCAGAAAGAGAGATTTAATCATGGTGCTTTCTTCTGTCTGCTCCTTGGCCCTCAGCCTTCTAAACCTAATCTACTCACTCTGCAGCACTTCTTGAAATTTGACCAAGCACCCCACCGTCTGCTAGGCCACAGGGTAGACACAGAGGAACTAGTCATGGATTTCTCACAGCCGGTCGGAGAGATGGATCTCTCTGGACTCCACTCCAGCTCTGAGTATCAGAGGCCAGAAGCTCAGGATTGACTAGAATTGTTAGAAAAGCCTTTGTAGAAGATTCAGGCTTGGATGGGAAGTCTAGATTAAAATCTTTGTGTTTGTTTACATAAATGCGTGTGCACGCATGTGTATGTAGGTGAGGAAGCTAAAAGGGGCATCATGCGAGAGCAGGAAAAAGTCTTGGGGGAGGTGGAAGGTAGAGAGGGCAATGATGTCGTAAGGCAGAAGAGGGACCAACTGTGCAGAATGAGGGGTGAGGAGCAGTCGGACAGGAGAAGGAATGAGAGCCTACACTAATGATGTGAGTGAAGGTACCCTGAGGAACCCCATTACTCTGTACGCTGACATAAACGTTCATTTAAACGACTTTTAAAGCTGGGCATGGTGGCTTCGTGTCTTTAATCCCAGCACTCAGACTGAAGCAAGGGGCTATCTATGAGACTGAAGCCAGATATCTAGACATCAAATTCCACATCAAATTCCAGGCCAGCCTGGGATCTGTGGAAAGACCTTGTCTCAAAGACAAGCACACAACAAAACAAACAAACATACAAGCAGAAAACTTTTAGAAAGGATGAAAAAGAGAAGAAGCAGACTTGAAGGGTGGGCTCGATTCATCACGGGGGTGGCCAGAAGAGACTAGAGAACTCACTGACATTACAAGGTGAGGGACGAGAATGTCGGAGCTGTTGGGACTCCGGCCTCTCCCTGGAATCTCACCGTTGCTCCTCTAGCTTGAGGGCTTACTTTATTTATTTTAATTTATTTATTTTTATTTTTATTTTTTTGAGACAGGGTTTCTCTGTAGCTTTGAAGCCTGTCCTAGAACTCAGTCTTATAGATCAGGCTGACCTCGAACTCACTGAGATCTGCCTGCTTCTTCCTCCTGGGATTAAAGGCATGCACCATCTCCGCCACCAACTGGTTTGCCGACTACTTTAGAGAGAGACTTTAACAAGGAGCTATGTATAGCAAGGGGCCCGTGAATGCAAGGTCCCTGCACCTTTCCTTAGTCCACCCATGCTAGAAGACGCCTCGTATGGATGTGGGATTTTTTTTGTTTTTTTGAAAGCTGCTACCTCCTTGAGGATGCTGGGCCCAGGCTGTGGGATGGTAACCTGCTCTGTCGGGGCCCCATCCAGTGACAGCCCTTTTTGGTGGAGAAAGCTCTTACAAGTGGTAAGCAAACAGGACAGCCTGGAACCATGGGACTGCCCTGAGAGTAAAATCAGTTGCCAGACAAACCCACGTCTCTCATTTCGTTTCATGCCCCCACTTACTGGGGCAGGGAATGGTTTTCACTCCTTCCCCAGGTAAACCTGTAAAACAAGAAGCAAGCCAGAATTTTCTGGTCTTGCGTGTTGGTGCTGAAGGAACCGCAGGCAGCGGAGTGAGGTCTGGCATGTCTTAACACTCATCTCCCATCTCCAGCAGTTTGCCAAATAAAATACAGGATGTCCAATTAAGTTTAAGTTTCAGATAAACAATGAACACTTTTGAGCAGAAATATGTCCCAAATATTGTGAGTTTCACTGTTTGTGTGGGTGCAGTGTGCCAAATCTGGCAACTCAAATTCCCACTTCAGGTTTTCCTAAGTCTACAGAGTGCATTTGGGGTTTCTGTCAGGAGGAGGGGCGTTCTTCTCTCTCCTGAGGGGATGGTGCCCGAGAGCTGCCTTCTTTAAGAGGACCTGAGATGACCTCAGACAGGGAACTTGGAAATTCTGGGAAGAATGTGGAGCCGTGGGTGTCGGAAGGGTCTGCCTTCTGGGTTCAGCTCTGCTTCTGGCTGACTGACCTTGGACGAATAAATACTTTGTGTCTTTAGACCTCCTTTTTGTCTTGTCTTGTGAACCGTGGGGTTTAAGTGGGAAGGTCTCTGAGGCCTCAGTGTGGAGTAGGTTGGGAAGCAAGTTCTGGACTGGACTGCGGGACGTGAGGAGCTGAGGTTGAGCTGTGTGAGCAGGACAAGTATTCAGCTGGCCCTGCTCAAAATGTCAGCAAAGACAAAAGGCAGTAGTTGGGATATAGGTTTGTGGACTACAAAGCTTGGGGACTTTGCCTTAGGGCAGGATTGGACCTGAAATCCTGGTGTTTCTGGCATCAGTGGGAAATACACCTTCACATCAGACTGAGAGGTGAGGGGAGACTGGAGTTCACCACTCCACTCCCCCACCTCTCTGCCCCCCACCCCCTTTTCCCTACTGACCTGCACACTGAAGCCTATACATGGTATCCGGGGGCCATGTCCGCAAAAGGCCTCGGAGATATCTCTTGGCCGAATACCCAGGCTGAATCTGCCGTAGAGTCTGGCTCTCTGGCTTGCTTCGGAAGTAGAGGTAAGGTTGCCAGGCTCTGTCTTGCTCCCTCTGTGGGGACACCAATCAGGAAATGGCACAGTGGCTGAGTCCCGAGTCTCCTATTGATGCAAGACGGTTAGCCCGATCCTCGCCAGCAATCCAGAGACTCCCAGGAGGGGTCAGAAGGCACCAGTAACAGATGCCTTGCCTAATAAACACAACCCAAGAGCCCAGAGGGCAAAGCCCTGAAAGGTTCCTGAAGACACGCAGTCAGAGAGGAAGGAGAAATGACAAATGCCAGACCCCATCTTGGTAGAGAGCATTAGGAAAGAATAAAACCTCAGGAGAATTCCTTCGGCAGTGGAAATCATGTCGGTCTCTTCAAAACAGCCCCAAGACTGTGGGAAAGATTGTGCCACGACCTCTGCCCTCAGTGCCTGTCCGGGTTCACAGGGACCCTGACATTTTGAAAATATTTGATCGTGTTGCCTTTTGTTTCGGCCAGGGAGAGTTTTCTGGGACTTTCCCTCCCAAATTCAGTCCCTCTGTGTGCAAGGCACAGGGGGAACAGAGAGACAGCTAATACTTGACGAGGGATTTCTATTGTATGGGAAGCCTTTTCCGCGCGGTAATCCTGTAAGGCGCATGAGTTCTAGTGATGTGGAAACGCTGAGGATGATTTGTGGAGCCCGTGAACAGCCAGGTGGTGGTGACACACGCCTTTAATCCCAGCACTCGGGAGTTCAAGGCCAGCCTGGTCTACAGAGCGCCTTCCAGGCTGGGCCTCACAGAGTTTATAAATTCCTCACATGGAAACTTTGGTTATATTTAAACCACAAGAGAGCGCGGAAGGCTCAGCCAGGCGCCCGTGGAGTCAGACAGAACTCAGAGCTTTAAGTTTCTCATCAGCACAAAACCTCCTGTTCCCCAAGGACGTTTAATCTCACCGAGGCACCAGGACTCAGCTCCAGGTAGCATCCCGATAACAGAGGAACAAAAGATGGTTTGAAGCAGGCGCTCCATCGGATGTCCTGGAGAGTCAGAGCTGAGACTAGAGTCCAGCATGCTCCAGCTTGTTAGGATTCAGTGAAACCCGACTCAACGGTCAACACAACAGAGAAAGAAAGTACGCTAGCTCGCGTATCAAAAGGACCAAAGTCTGGAGAGTAATAGGGCTGGTTAAATCAGAGGCTCCATGTCTCCTAAGTTCCACGGGCAGCGAGGCCCTTTATACCTCTGAGAAATCTGTCGCTTCAGTCTTAGAGACACGCTGAGTCTGAATAACGAACACAGGAGACACGGAGCGGGTCCAGAATGCCCTGCAGAATTGGACCGGAGCTTAAGAGAAAGCCTGGTACGGTCTGCACCTGGAATTATGGTCAGGGTGTCTGCATCCACCACTCATGCTGCATCGGGACTTTACGACCACGGCAAGTCTGCAAGCCTTTACGAGTCTCCAAAAGCGGAGCTAGCAGCATGTGAGGTGTGGGAAGTTCATGATATTTACAGTCACACGGCCTAAGAGATTTTGATTTTACAGGTCCCAGAAAGACATTCTTTGGAAATTGGTAACTAAGTGAGTGCACAGTTGTACTCCCTGCTCCACCTCTTCTTGGTCACCTGAGTTACATAACAGCCCACGGCCCAAACTGGGCATTGAACCTAGCGCCTCGCACATGGTACCTAGGCAAACGCTCTACTGCCAACTGATATTCCCAGCTTCACCCTGTTCCCCTTTTTGTCTTGGGATTTTGTTAAGCTGCCCAGGCAGGCTTTGAGCTTTGGATCTTCTTGCCTCAGGAAACATGTGTGTGTGTGTATGTGTGTGTGTATGTGTGTGGGTGTGTGCTGGTCAATGGACAGCTTTGTTTATATATATATATGTGTGTGTGTGTATGTATATGTATATATGTGTGTATATATATGTGTGTGTATGTATGTGTATCCCCAAACACACACATATGTACATACACATGCACATATATGTATATGTACATGCATGGGTGTGTGCTGATCAATGGACAGCTTTGTTTATATATAGATGTGTGTGTATCCCTGAACACACACATGTACACATGTGTATATGTACGTGTACACATGTACATATGTGTATATGTACGTTTGTGGGTGTGTGCTGGTCAAAGGACAGCCTTGTTTTCTGCTTCCACCAAGCAGGTTCTGGAGTACTGAACCCATTGGCTGAGTCATTTTGCTAGCCTTCCTTCAGGGTTTTCAGGTACTATGCATAAACTCACACGAGCCATGCCTTCCTAATCCTGTTCCTGGGGATCTGGGGAGGGGAGCGCTTGCTTCCTCTCAGTCCTCCGGGTCTCCTTCCTGTCTGCCTTGCCCGTGTGAACACGTGTCATTTCCCCCAGCATTGGAGGAGACTGCAGAGCAGCTCTGAGAACCACTCCTGCTGAGCACGTGTCCTTAGGCAAATTAATTACTTCCCAACCCATCTTGTTCAGCATCCTCAGCAGAAAGAGCGACGGGCCGAGGTGTGCAATGTATTCTAGACTTCTCTCTAGTAGGGGGTCGACAATATTAGCCTTTCTTTCTTCGCCTGGCCAAGGATGGGGGGAACCACGGACAATTGTGAAATCCTTCTTCCTCTTGCTACTGTTTACTCACAGACTCCCAGCTCATTTTTTTTTAACTGAACCCCTTTCCCAGAATCCTTTGCATTTTGAAGAGCCTGCACAATCCAGTTCTGGACAAAGAGATGGAACAGGAAGCTCTTGAGAGCTTCTGGACTATCTTGTCTTCCTCAAAGATGGGATAGATACGTCGGACTGGTGTGCTGGCAATTTTGTTTTTGTTTTGAGCCAAGGTGTGATCTGGATTTGTGGGGGCTGCTAGACAGGAGCCAAGGTGTGATCTTTGGATTTGTGGGGACCACTAG